AGCAGCAGCAACAACAACAACAATCCCAACACCACCACCACCACCACCACCAACAACAACAACAACAACAACAACCACGACGACGACCACGACGACGACGACGACGACGACGACGACGACGACGACGACGACGACGACGACAAGCACAACGACGAGGAAGAGAATAAATGGTGCCAAGACCATTGCCGCTCTTAATCCTTAATTAAAAAAAAGCCGGCCGTACTCAGCCCACACTTGTGGCCGGAGGGCGCTGGGAACCTCGGCCAGGGCTCTCAAGGCTGCCACTCAGGAGAGGGGTGGGCTTGAGGCTTTGCGTTAAAGGTTTCGGACTGGTTTAATTGAAGGCGTGGGTGGCACCTAAGGTTGAGAAGTCAGGGGTTAAGGATTTTGAGGCGACAGATGGTAAAGGCTTGTGATTGGAGATTCGGTTTCACTCTTTCCTCGAGGACTGAGGTTGAAATGTACCAAACTCTTGACCTCGTCGTCAGCGCGGTGAGACTAGCAAAGGCGAACGGAGCAGCAGCAGCAGCAGCAGCAGCAGCAGCAGAGGCAGAGGGCGGGGCAGGGCAGGGCCAGCGGCAGAAGAGGCTGCGCCAAAAATGCTTTGAGGTACAAGTAGCTTTCTGCCGCCTTCAAGTCTCGAACTGGCCAATCTCCAAGGAACTACGCTTGCTGCATGGAAGGGGATTTCAGCTGAGTGCCAGGGGACCACGAGTGAAGCTCCAGGGGAGAACTCTAAAAAATCAACCCAAAGCCCTCCACCAAGAAGAACGAAGCTTTTTGCAGACCTGGAGCTACATTTTACGCAAGGGATTCGCAAAAGCCAGTGCTTCCCCGCTGCAATGCTCTACTGCAGCAAGCTCTCAACGCACGACCAGGGCCCCGCACGCCGCGCAAGACCAATTGCTGCAGCTTGTTGAGCATGGTCTGGTCCTGGCACATCACCATCCAAACTGGGCTATGAGTACATTACGACAGAACTTGAGAACTTCGTACTCGTCTCGAACCTGTTCACGTAAAGTAGCCTGCCTAGTGAGGAATTTGCTTTAGAAAGCCCTACATTGAGGCGTCGGGGGCGGCGAAATCAGCACCAAGCTGAGAAAACTGGATTTAGCTGAAGCAGGTATTGCATGCTGTGAAGATGAATCTTGTCAGGGAACAGGCCTGACCATCCTTTGTACGGTTACAGTATGTTACACTTAAACTTCAATCGATCTGCCTCTAGCTCCAAACCACAAAATCTTACCTAGCAGGCAAGTGGAACCTGGCGTCCACAACGCAGACTCTTCATGTTCACAACTGACATGGCAAGGCAAACGCATACCGCATGACAGGTGCCCGTGTACGTGAGAAGACCCTTGGATGCTGTTCCAAGAACTCCAAACTGCCATCTGAGGTCCTGGACAAAGCCTACTGATTTGTAGAAATGATCAATGCAGTTCGCCTCGTTTTGCTGCCAGAGAAGGCGGAGTTCGCCAATGCTTCGACCTCAGACACGCCCTTTTGAACTTTGATTTATGCAGACAGGTGATCTCTACAAATGTGGAATCAGTTTTATCCGCTGGTATATGGGGACGGCTCTTATGGTGCATGAAGACAACCTTGTTACCAGTTTAAGCTTGAATAGCAGAGGGGAAGGATACAGAGACGGCCTACATGAATGTTGGTGTAGCGCACAAGATGGGCGGGCCACTTGGGGCGCCATGGAGTTTTGCCGGGGAGGGCGGTGGCTGGCGACAAGGGTCCTCTGTCTAAACCCCAAAGCCCCAAAACAGCAAACACCTGTTGAGGCAGAGTCTTTGAGACAGCTTTCCAAGGGGTATCAATACTCTGGTTCATTTTCAATTTCTTGTCTTAGCCTTGGGAACAGACCGTATACCCCGAGCTACCCCAAGCTACGCCCTTCCTCCATGAAACCTAGGCACGACAAATGAGCAACAACTTTAGTGCAGAATCCCAACATGAAAGATGAACCTGTTGCTGCTGCTTGAGAATTGTAGGGAAACTCAACAACCTCAGATCCCTACAGCCTATAGCCTATTATAATATGGTAGTTTCCATTTTCTTTTCCATTATCCCAATATAACCCCCACATAGGCCTATTTAATATAGAAGAGCCCAGAAGAGAGCAGGGAAAGGGAACCATCTTGAGGCGCATACCTTCATAGCCACGGTCCTGCAGCTCCGCCTAACCAACGGATATAGCGCGGTGGTGTTTAAAGAACAAGCTCTACGGAGTAGTTTCCATTTTCTTTTCCATTATCCCAATATAACCCTAACATAACCCCAATATAACGCCTATATAGCCCCTATATAACCCCTATATAACCCCTGTATGAGGTCTACTTTAAGAATTTTGGTTAGGATTCAGAGATCAGAGTTTAGGCTTTAGGCGGTGAGGTTGAGTGACCAAAATGTGTTGGGTTTAGCTGAGCAGTACCTCTAAAACTAAATTCGCCTCGAGAAAGGTAGCATGGATCATGGAAGTTGAGTAATGTCGGTTGGAACTGTTGGATTCTTGAATTAGAAACTGTGGAAGCCTCCTAAACATCTACTAGTGTTGAGTCAAGACAATTTTCTGAGCACCAGCGTTCGCTTTCCATAAGTTGTACAACGAGGACTTTGGAGGACCTCCGATTACGTCTTGCATTCCTTCAACAACATGTCATCTACGATTTTCCCCAACCCAGTGAATAAGAGATACAGTAGAAAGCCCTCAATTTTGGTTTGGTTCGAGGCAGGAGCAATGTTCAAAAACCCTCCCTACCCTGCAAAGCAATTAAAGTGGTGTAAGGGGCAAGCAGAAACAGTTAAGTGTGAAGCCCAAACCCAAATGACATAAACCCTAAATCCTAAGCCGGAAACGCCTGGAAGATGTTCCAGGCATTCAGCTGCCGTCGCTCGAGGCATTCCAAGTACGGCACAGCATTCGAGAGCTCCTGGGGACTCACACCGCTCCATGCAGGGCTCTGTCTCTATCCGTCTACCTGCACGTCAAAGCCCGCCCTGAAGGCCACGAAATTGCAAGAGCCCGAAGAAAGAACAAGAAGATCAGGTTGGGATTAGATAGCATGGTTGGACTACAACGCGCACTGGAAAAGCGGTATCGACCTATGACTGATGTCCATCTGCCATCTTTGAGGTATTGGTATGTCATATACCGTAGTGTACAGATTATCACATAAAGACAACAATTCTTCCAAACCCTAGCCCAGGCCATAAACTGTGAAACCCTAAACCTAAACCCCAAGTTTAAAACCCCAAACTCCAAAGCTTAACCCTCAAAACCCTGACCCTAAAATTTTAAACCCTCAACCCACAACCCCAGTCCTCCACATGTCTTCGCATGTTATCTTTCAGGGTTTCTGGACTCTTCGCGCCGCCCTGCACCACACAGGACGTCAGGCAGCTTTTCCATGGAGCAAATAATCAGGTTATGCAGTGCAAACGGGCTTGAGGGCCTCGAGCCTTTGAGGCTTCGGTGTCTGAATGTCTGTTGAGAGACCACTTGGTCTACGGGCTAGGGTTTAGGGAAGAGGGGTTGTCAGAATAGCAGCATCACTGGGGCCACGTAGGGCTTGTAGGTGACAATCTTAGGCGTTTGCGCTGCATGAGCTTTTACACGTTCAAGGCTTTCAACCTGAGGCTTACACTTGATGTCTGAGACAGTCTGAGTGCTGCGAAGACACTACGGACCTATCTAGAACAAGTGCAAGGTTGTGATGCACACGCAACACACGCCAGGCTTCATGAGCTGCAGGTCAGCAGTGGCTGGTATGCTCTTTGATGGCACACAACATGCGACTGTTGAACGAAACACCGCTGTGCCACCATGAGTGCTGTGACACAAACCGCCTAAACATGACACAGCTAGCTGAAGGGCTTGGGCTCTGTAACGGCGCGTCATAGATCTCTATGAGCACAAGACCCAGACTGCTTGCAGCACACGCAAACGGGCCTCCTTGTCCCTAGGTCTGACAATGTTCGGGTTGTAGGTGAAGGAGTGGTACATGGCTTCCACGCCGTAGATGGGCTCACGGACTCTCGGCTGACACACCTGCCACTGGATCGGCTTTTCGGACTTTCGGAGGGAAATAAGACGTAGCGCAAGATGGACATTATGCCTTCATAATGGACTTTTCGTATTCTCATACCTTACAAAGAGACTTCAAGAAAAGCTTCGTACTGCATGGCTGTCATCGCCCGTTCCCCTGGCCTTGCTCCAAATCTCCTTCAGGAACATGGACCTCAGGCCATGGAATGCGCGGGACAGGCTGCAAAAGCAACGTTGCGATTCAACGCAACGATCTGCATGACCCAAACACTTGAATGTGACCTTCTGCCTGCGGCTCGCTAAAACAAATCAAAACACTGAACTCTTGGGGATCTGCCGAACTGACAGCTGCATCTTCTCCTGTCCATCAGCGAACACCTGAAAGCTGCTTGGGTTCGTATGCTTCTGGCTGAGGAAGGGTTAGGGCCTTCGGCTGAGGGAAAATGATGCCCAAGAAGCTCTGCGCGGCTGTATAAATGGGCTCAATGGTCCTGTGTATTCCCCATGTCCATCATATGACTGAAGCTCTTGCTCCTCCTTGATTCCCCGTATCATTCACCCTGTCTTTACTCTCCCTGCAGACCTCTAGATGGGATTCCTTGCAAGGTCTCCCCCACACCATTCACAATGCCCCATCCTCACCGGACCTGCTTCATCTCTACCGGCAGCCACCGGGTGAGGACATGAATCTCTCCAGTGATGTTGGGCGTCAGCTCACCGTCCTCTTGCCGCAACAGTTTGGAGTTTGGCGTTTAGGCTTGGGATTTGGGACTTGGCCTAAACTTTGTTCCCAAAAAGGGGGAAAATTTATGTTGGGACACCAAACCCTCAACCCTAATCACCCCAGAGCCCTTGCATGAAATTTGAAGCTTCTGCTGGGCGGCAATAACACAATCAAGAATCTGTGTTGCTGTTAAGGAACTTGTTTAGGGGAACCATATTAATTACCATACATATATATATATATATACACCCATCGTGGTAACTCAATTTAAGTTCCTTAACAGCAAGCCAGTCATTTGGGACATGGCGGCAGCCGGTGTAAGCGAGACAGACAATGAGGGAGTCATTTGTGAGACAGAGAGAGAGAGAGCAAGCAAGAGCAAGAGCTGGAGGGAGGGATTGCAGACCCTGGACTACAATAATACTGCGATGGCATCCCGCGATATTTGCCGCTTCAAATCGCTGAATGTTGCCCTGCACCAAAAACGTTGGTCCTTAACGCGATGCTCTTTAACTCAAACAGACCGCGCAAAGAGCCTTCACACTGACGAGCGGAAGCCAAAGGTTCTTGAACATCTGGTTCGGATTCGTCAGGAACTGCCTGGCAAGGAGCTCCCTTTAGGGAACGTCCCGGGTCTACTACTCAGGGTTGGAAAACATATGGAAAAACACAGGGAAATGACATGGAAAGTAGGATTTCTGATTCTCGCATGTCCAGGGTGCAAAGACTAGGTTGCAGGCTTCAAGGCATAGGACTTCTCCGAGGGATGTGAAGGTCAAAAAATCGCGCCCCTGCTCGCGCAAGTTGGAACTTGTAGAAACACAGGTAGGCATATTTGGGAACACTAGGGTTCTCTATCGTAATAAGAGGAGGAAACTATAGGATGCTACCCTTTTTATAATCCGCGTCTTTCCTACCTGAGCAGAGCCGGCAGGCTCTGTCCAATGTCTTAGGTTAGCTAGGAATGAAGGCATGGATGGATCCTTACAGTAGTCCCTTTATAACCCATTATAGTAGTTTCCATGTTCTTTTCCATTCCTTCATTCCCAGCTAACCAAAGGTAAGATGCGCAAGGCATCATTACGAGCCTTAGCCCCAGGTGGCCTCACAAAAGGAAATTGCAGGATCTACCTACATGGGGGTTTCCGAAAATTAGGGGTCCCTCCTTTAACAGGCGATATAGGGATACTGGGAAAGAAAATGGAAACTACTATTTAAGGCGTAGGGTTGAAGGTTTCCCAATTTTGGGGGTACATTTTTGGGGTCCCAACCAGAAGGACTATAATATATTGGGATCTATATTGGGGTCCTCATTATTTTGGGAAACTACCTACCTCCCATTATGTGTTGTCAGGCCGTTAATCCACCACCCCCCATTCAACTCCGAACCCCTGCAAAATCCTGTCCGACTTGCGGGCTGCAAGACAATGATCGCATTGACATAACCCTACAAATTTAAAGCCTTAAGCTCCAAATCCTAAACCCACAATCACAAACCCTCAACCCCAAAGGCAGAAAACTATAGACCCGAAAGCCCCAACCAAATGAATCTCGCAGGGGGGGCTCTTCTGTCACGGGAAGCTGGATGACGCCGATACGGCTGGGCGACATGCCGGCCTTCATCACCTGCGTGTACACATCAGGGTTTGTGGAGAAAATCATCAAGTCCTCAGCATGAGGAGAAATGTATGCCTGCACGACTTGGGGTCACACCTCAAACCGCCAGATATGCTTGAAGAACTATCTTCTGCAGGAAAATGAAAGAGACATTGCGGAGGCAATGCCGTGTCAGAGCTGGCCAGGAGGGTGGAATTTGCATATCTCGTATATCCCACACTACATATCATGAGCATGTGAAGCTGTAGAGACGTCTTGCACAGCTGCTCAGAACGCCTGATTGCATGCATCAGGATTCCAAAGCCTTTTTTGAAGCCAAGCAAGACAAAACAAAGCTCTTCAGTCACACTACTTGGACTTGGCACGCACCCTCAACACTTTGCACAAGTGGAGTGATGAAAGGCAGGGTTCGGAATCTTGAAGGCACACGGGTGGCATCATCTCCTTCACTTGGCTCACCTTCATCCCACCCAGTAAGTCCCTTAGAAACTGAAAGCATGTCCTTCTAGAGTCTCCTTCAAGAGTCTCGCATGATCCTAATGCTGTCTCAACGTACTGCCACTCGGCTTTCCAGACATGGGAGCAGCCTCGAACTCGATCAGCAATTTCGGATACTTCTCGGGGTCAATGATGCCCGTGCGGAATGTCCAGCCTGCAACACTACCGATTATGGAGGCGGGGGGTATATAGGGGATATATTGGGATAATGGAAAAGAAAATGGAAGCTAGTATTTAGTGGTTATGTGCACATGGCTGCTCCGACCACGGCTGACCCGCATGACACACCTGTCGCATGCCTCACCTTTAGCTTAGCAGCTCCCTCTTGTCTTGGAGCCGCCTTTGTCACTCACATGCTTCCCTTCTCTTGACAAACAAATAGCGTGACCCAACAGATCCTAGACACGGTGGACCACAGCATTGACGAGTTCGGGATGCTTCGAGTTGACAGGGCGAAGGAACATGAAATTGTTTACTTGTCTCGCATCTGGGTGATTATTCTGGCTGGGAGCTCAGAGTTCGGATCTATCTTGGATAGTTCGCAAATGATGCATGTGCACCAAAGCCGCGAAGTCTTAGCTGAATCTATGCCCTCTAAAGTGTATCTGGCATTGCTCTCAAGCAGCGCAGAAACAAAACGCTAGAGCCCGTGGAGTCGAAAACCTGAACCCTAAGCCCGGAACTCGAAGCCCAAGACCCCAAACCCTTCACCCTACACCCTCAATCCTAAACCACTACGCCAACCTCAAGAAGCCCCCCAAGACCAAGCCCACCGCAGCCTCCGACACCCTCCAGCTCAGGCAGCTTGGACCAGCAGGGGCTGTCAGTGCCAGAGATGACCTCAAGAGCTTGTGGGTTATGGAAATTTCCAAAGGTGGATTGCCAACAATTTCCAAGTCCTTCTTTCTTTGTGGGCTCCGAGCTACTGGGCCTTCGTCCATAAAAAGGATGAAATGCAGGCGTTGTGCGGAGCAATGGAGGCTCCTAGAAGCCGGCCGCTTTCACTAGTCATCCAAGCAGGACGGTATATACACGCACATACGGGCTTGCTCGTGGTGCTTAGCTACATAGCATTGCTTGTGTTGTTGGAGTAGTTGGAGTTGGTCAAAACAGTATTTGGGGGAAGATGACAAGAAGCCCTTGCTTGAAAGAGGGCAACCCGGCCCTGAGAAGTGCTGCTGCCTTTGTTCTGAAACACAGAGAGGAAAACCACACGCTTTGGAAACTGCTTGTTGGTCTTCAATTGAAGATTCACAGCTTTGCAGGGACCGTTTAAGGCTGTGGCCTATGCAAACATGTGTTGAGGATTCAATTATCTGTCCGTGCTCCAAACGGCCCTTCACACCCCTACTCCGCATTCTGCAAACGCAACGGTGTGGGACGATTGGAACAAGAACTGTGGGCACAGTTGGGATGATGAGAGAAGCAAGCCTGCAAGTTTAGTTCCTCATTATAGCAGAAACCAATTCTACAATAAACCTGCCCCAGACTTTGAAGGCAATGCAGTAAACCTTGTGGGACCAGTACCCAAGTGCATCCCAACTCACTAACACCTACTAAGTCACCCTCCCTATAACCATCCTACCAAGTTGGGCTTGATGAGCGCATGGTTATCTCCGACAGACACGCCTGCATGGACTTACTCAGAAACAAGAATACTCTAGCAACATGCCATACAGACAAACCACCCGAAACAGTCCCAGCAACAGTTTTGTTCAGGTGCTGCAACATCCATGCTCCCACCCACTTGCCACCAAGATTGGAATCCTCAAGTTGACAGATACCCACATCTCGACTCATGTTCCCGATTGTCTACTCGAGAACACACCCTGTAAGCCAGACTTTAAGAAGGAGTATCTAGATGGACCACAGAACAAAGAGTGAAACATATCCTCGTGTCATGCTGTCAGCTGGGAAGCAGGCTGGTGACACTTGCTTGTTTGTCCCGCGGTACGGGATCACCTGCACGTATATTCAGGGACTGTATCTGCCTGCTTCTTGCATTCTGTTTAACAGCGATGTGCCATTTCTAGCGCAACCGAAGCTTGCAAAGTTTTGGTGAACTTCCGTGCAGCTGCGTGTAGCGCATGCGCTACACGCTTCTTGCTTGCGGACTAGGCTTTGGGTGTGCTGCAAAAACTGTCCCACACAGTTGAATGATCTGTGCTTGCAAAATTGCATGTCCGAGCCTTTTTTCCTCCCCCAAAGTAACATGGGACCCTCTATACCAGTAAGGGAACTCGGTAAGTTTCAGGGACGGTACATCCCTACAGACAGCGAGAACCTTTGGGGAATCCTGGTGGCTCCGGCTCACGTCAAGGCTGGCTCAAGAAAACTGTTTGGTTTTTGGATCATTGCTGGTCTGGTTTGCTTGTTTCCCCACGTGCTTGAATCCAACTGCAGTCGTCGTGGACTATCACGGTGAAGAACTTCACCTTGTTCCCGCTGCAGGCGGGAGCAATCGGGAGCATACTGCATGCGTTCGAATTAGGCATCGCTGTCATCAATCCCACTTAATGCGTTGTTAGATTCCCCGATTTGGCGCCTCTGTGCCAGCAACATTGCCAAGTTCTGCCCTGAACGGTCCGTCCGAGGAGGTCACAGCTTGTGCGCAACAACTTATGGCGACCCTTTCTTCATTCTGTTTCACAAGCTGTCCCTCTGCATGAAGCGAATTCTGCCATCCATCGGAAGCTTCACCCACCGGGCCGGATGACTTTCGATCGAAGAGTTCCTGGCATAGACGCATCCACTGTGGAGCCGGTTGGCCTGGAGGACGTGTGGCAAGGGTCACGGAAACACTCTGCCCCGAAGGTGCCGTGACTGTCAACCACCTCTTGCACTTGGATATCGTCCAACCTGTGTTGAGCTGAACCGCATGCTCAGCAACAGTTGGTGCGGGCAAGAGCCTCGGGTGAAACCCGTGCAACAAGGGTGTTCGTTCAGACACGTGCACATCACCGCCAGTAACAAAATCAAGCTTTGGTGTTAAAGCCTGGCAAAATATGGAGCCTCACTAGCAAGAGGGCTCCTTAAACATTCTCATGCATCCCTGCTGCACACAAACTAGCCCACCCTGCCTCCTTGTTGTGAAGCATGCGGAAGTTCACAAAAGTCCCGATGGAGCTTCCTTCTGGCGTGCCCTTCACTGCCTGCACAAAGCGGAGAATGCCCTCATTGCCACTAACCCAGACCCATGATTAATAAACCCCCTCCCCTTCATAGGGATTATAAAAGGGATCCTAATATTAAGGCCCTTAAATGGAGGGGGTTTATTCATCATGGGTCTACATTAGTGAGAACTGAGCGAGGTTCAGTGTGTTATAACTATGCTGGTCTCCATGCGAAAACAGAAGTACTAGCTCAGATTGCCAACACGCCCCCTGCTAGCAAGTGGCGCCACATGTAACCTGAAAGTTCGACGATGCACGCCAACAGTTCCCAGCTAGTATCATTAGCCCGCTGATATCCCTAATGTACAACAAACTTTCTTCAACAAAGCAGATACGATGAGGCACCAAGTGCGAAGGGGCGGGGGAACAAAGCGTGTCGGGGCTGCTATGAAAAGAAACCACCATTTGCATGCCCAATATTCAGTGTTGCCACTATATAAGAACCTTCATTCTTGGAGGAAAGGATACTATGTTTCGGGGATGTGGTTGACCTCTGCTGGTTCATGAGTGCTGAAGCTCTATGTTGCAGCTTCTATGATGCAGAGGCCTACACATAATAGACGCTCAGTCAACTTTGCAGTTTAGCAGCGCTGGAATAAGCTAGCGGGGACTGTAAGGGAACACTGCGAGAAAAATTTCGAGACTCGTGAACCGCCAGGATTCTGCACTCCCTGGAAAACCGCCAACAAGCCTCTCTGCCCAGTGTGCCATACCCATGTAGTCCTCCCCAAACCGCGTACAGCTCTACGTCTGCGCACGTCCGTATGTAAGCGGCCCCTGCGCGCTTTGGAAGGAAGCCTTTGATTTGGACGCGACCGTTATAGCTTTAACCATGTGTCTGAAAACACTCAAGTTACTGAGCCCCATACCCCAACCTCTGCACCCTGAACCTCAAGCCTAATCACCAAGACCTACCTTACCCCAATTTGTACAAAGAATAGAACCCAGGGGAAAATGTGGGATTTTGGGTGCAGTTGGCCGGCCTGGCCGTCTGTGGTGCCCAGAAGCTCGGGCCTTGGCTGGCTCGGAGTCTGGGAGTTCAAGGAGTTTATAAGTCGAGGATTTGTTGAACGGTTTGGGCTGTTAAGAATAAACTTTGTGAGGGTTTTGGCTGTAGGGTCCAGGCTGTAGGGTTTAGAGTTCAAAGGTTTCCAGCCCTGACTCCCAAACTTTCAAAAATCTAAGGCACCATACCACTCCAGTCCTTACAAACGAATTATACGCCACCTCAGAGTAGCCCAGGGGGCCTCTTCAACACTTCTTGCAGCAACCCAGCATAGCATGCATATAAAGGCAGAAACATCTCGCTCACATCCCCTGCCAATTCCTTCTCTGTCACTGCGCTTGTCAAATTTTAGGCCCTAAGCAAAAGCCCTAAGCCCGTACTCTTAACCCTAGACCCCAAATCCCAAACCCGAAGCCCCTGCCTACAAGCCCTAAACTCCGCCGATCAAATGCCAGGCCCTCAGACATCAACCCTAATGTAAACCTGAGCCCCTTAGACGCAGGCAGGTAGTTTGCATCCACCATCTGGTTCGACTGCGAGGGATCCACTTCGGAGCGTCCTTTGGACCACCTCAAGATTGGAAAGCTTTGCATCTAGGGATTTTTGGTTGAAAGTTTAGATATACCTTGATATTGCTGTTAGGGGGAATTCTGCACGGTCAGCAATGCAATCGCTTTACATTTAGCTTTTTCAAGGGGCTGTTCCTGGGGAATGATTGAACCTGGTGCGCTATTTGTAGAGCTTTCATAACTCTGCAAGCTTGGTGCGGTGGTGACACCTGGAGAGTACCCCTGTGAATGGGACAGAAGGGAATCGCAGCGATCGACCGTCCGTAGTGAAGATGCTTCCAAAACGCGCGGCTGGTGAAAGGGGAAGTCGAACGGAGTAGAGAACACTATTAAGTGCAAAAGCCGAGCACCAGCCAGTAAGTGCAGCATTACTTGCCATAGTGGTGATTGGGATACGGCTACGTGAACAAGTTGAAGAGTGGTGACAGTGAAACTCATACAAGCACTTTGAGCGGTAAGCCTGGTATTTCGCACGGTTCAGGGGCACGGGCGATTCGTAGAGCGCAATGGGATCCGACGTGAGCACAGTGTTCAGCGCCGACTGCCTGGTACAGGAGGATGGGGGGTTGCTCTCAGAACGGGGGGCCCGTAGGCACCTCAGGAACATATGAGCTCATATACAGATTTTAAGTACATTCTGAGGATCCTGTGGCGGATCATGGAGATCTTGCACCAGCGTGCTGCCGACAAACAGCGTCACACCGCACAAACCCTGAATACCTTGTGTAGCCGTGTTAAATACGCAGAACATTGTGGCGCAAGATGCTCGTCGTCTGTCCCCATTAACTACGTAGGGTGCAGGTAAACATGATTATGATGAACAGCGGGCCCTAGGGTCTTCCTAGACCCCCCAAGTACCCTTCATAATGGCTAACCTAAAATAATCTTGGGTATCAAAGCCATGAAAGGAATATTTGGAAGGTCCAGGTTTAGTTTGAAACACATAGCTGATCTTCAGCCAAACAGTGCAGGGCTTGATTGGGCTGCTCAGGGCTCAGGGCTTCCATGTTTGGATAAGGCTTGAATCTTGAGGGTGCATGTCTGGGTGACATTTACAAAAACGATCAGCCCATTGGCAGAAACCCTGGACAGGACAGCCCTTGCCGTCCTCCGGATTCTGTTTGGAGGAGCTTGGAGGGCCGCGTCTCAAAGGATTCAGTGGCCAAACTACAAATTATCTTTGGTTCAGTGACACCGCCGCGCAAGCTTTTGAGATTGTCACGGCTGACTGCTGAACTCCTATGCCGCGATTTTCTTCTGCACATCAACATTAACCAGCTTTCAACGTCCAATGCATCATCTAAGAAAAAGACCTCCTCGCTCTATGTTCTCCAGCTGCAACTTACGCTGCTGTGGCTCTAAAGACTTCTGCTAGGTCGTTGATATCCTGCAAAGCCTAGACGATCACCATACATTGCCCTTTGCTGGGAGACGGGGTTCATGCTTCATTCAACTTACGGCGGAGCGCTATTTTTGGTCAACGAGGTACTTACACATGTCGTTCCGATTTGCCCGTACCGTAAGTTTATTGAACTCTCCATGCCAGTGCCAATGAATACCGACCCACATGCATTTCCTGCGCCACCCATATGCGATCCCTGTGTTAGCCCTACACACTGCCTCCACATCCCACTGCAAGCAAATCGACCACAGCTCACTTTGAAAGGCATTTCTACAGTGCAAAAAGAAATAAGATTTCGCCCTGTAGAACTGGGACCGAAGGAGAACAACACACTTGCTCCGTACACCCAAAACACACAAACCCCAAACCATGGGCCAGATTATCCCCACTTAAACATTTGCGCGCTCACCCTTCAGATTCCTGAAGATGTGTAAGGATCACAAAGGAGTTCTTGAGATGCGGCAGTAGAATCATGCAAGGTCACTTGGGGGTTTCGTAGACTTTCCCCGAAAGGATGCTTGAAGGAACCCATTTGGAGCCATGGAGCAGTGGTTGCAGACGCCGAGCTTCCACCAGCAACACCTGACAGACTGACGGATGATGCAAAACGGAAAGACAGGGTTTAGCGATGAGAGTCGTCCTTCAAGTGACAGAGCGACAAGATGTGCGAGATAAAGCGACAGTCGCACGATTGCATACCTACTCAAGCGATAAATTGCACTAGTACTTGTTACTCTGGCTGCGACTACTGTGACAGCCTCGAGGCCCGAAGCCCTCCCCTGAGCAGGTGAACAGGGACCTTAAAACCATAGGACAAACCCCTGAAGATACTCCACGGAGGCCTTCAAAGGGGAGTCTAGAAGGAGGGAGGCGTTCTTGAAGTGTTTAAGGTTTTGGGTGGGGGGGTGTGGGTGGTTATCGGGATCTTCCTGCAAAAGCAGGAACTGGGAGGCCCCACGTCCAGCTGGCCGCCGCTCTTGTGCGGTCCCGGGTATCGAGTCTGGACTGGGGCGACCATCCTTGGCTTGGAGGTTTTGGGAATAAGGGAATATAATGGCGATAATGGAAAACAGAATGGAAACTACTACATGGGGTTTAAGGTTTAAGGGTTTAGGGTTTAGGGTTGTTGAAAGTTACAATGGTGATCCCTTTCTGCGAACCCTGAATTTTGGGGTACATATTACAGTGGGGACCCAAAAAGGGATCATAATTTTACCTACCATATGCAAGTGTCCTCTAGGCGTATCAAGGGGTTATACACGTCCCTATAGAAGGATAACTGGTGCGACAAGGTCCAAAAGGTCAGGGATTGAGATCTATGGTTTAGGGTATCCTCCAAGTCGAGTTTTTCATTGGCAGCACTTTGCGTCCGGAATACGCATAGGGAATTGCAACAGCAAGTCTCAATGCTAGGAGGAAGACGGGAAGGGGTAGGAAAAGAAGTGTTGAAGACCACCTTTTCGACCTCAGACCAAAGTGCTGTCACCCTGGCAGGACAGTCCTTCAAGGCGCTCTTTCAATCTGCCCAGAAAAATGCTAACTCACTTGAAACCTGTGGAGTTCCTTGTTGGACTCTAGGGTTCAGTTTTGTTTACAATCAGACATCCAAAGCTTCGCGTCCGGCTTCCAAATATGGGCACAGCTTGTCCGAATGCAGCCCACTCAAACTAGGATAATGCAAAACAAGTGATCCTGATCTTGAGACGCTACTCACGTACCCAAGTGGAGGTCATGGTAGCTTCCACCCGGCTTCGCTAGGCCCAAAAACGAGGATTCTCTCAATAAAGCCTGGATCTTCCCCACGTTTTGCCACGCAGGCACACACAACTACTTTCGTGCTGAGACCCGGTTAGCCTCATGCTGGGCTTCTTGGTCTGTTGCCCCCCTCAAAGCTGCCCAGCATCTGTGTTTGCTTCTGGTACTCCAGCATCTTCAGTGCCTGACCAGCGCTCTGCACAGCGGATCAACATTCTTGACAGGCCGGTTGAGTCCATCAGTCTTCACCACAAAGCATTGCTCCCCGCCACTTTCGTGTAAGAAGTGTCGGTCAACAGACTTTCAGAGCTTAGCTCAAACCCACCGCAAAAATCCTAAGAAAACTGGGCGCTTCTGAAAATAGCGCCCCTTGCTCTCCTGCAACTGGAGGAAGTACCCCAACAAGGGCACCGCGATGATTAGCATCAATCTCTACAGGGTTGCGTGTTCATCCACAAGATGCACCTTCCAAGGGAATGCGGAGACCGTCAAGCAAGTGCAGTCTCGCTTTCATTTTTGCGCGACCCTGGCCGCATCATACCCAAAGGACATTATCACCCGGGCTGGCCTGCTGGTAGTGGTCTACGCGCACACACTTGCGGACCATGGCCACAAAGTGGTACATTTCATACCTGGCCAGTCTCATGTCTCCGCTGGAATCTGCTAGACATTCAAGCAAAGTCCAAGGCTCTTACAAAATCAAGTCTGACAAAAATACTGACGAAAGCCATGATAATGTCTTCCGTTCTTCGGGAACACAAACAACATCAACACTTGAGCTTTAGCATGCTCTCTTAGTCCTTTGTAGGGGTTCCTAGGCCTCTTACAGGTACATATGGGGTGTACATTGTCAGAACCTCACTGCTGGCCGGTAAAAACTCGGGAATGGGGGAAAGATGTTGAAACCCACAATTGAGTTCCTAGCGTTCCGATTTGAGGGATGTCGGCTTACGGTTTACGAATCCTTTGCCCTTGAGCAATCACACGCCAAAGGAAGACGTCTGCTTAGGGCCGGACTCACTCGGGAAGCGCACGCGGACCTGAGTCAACTTGCCCAAGCACTGCTGCTGTTATTTGTTGGCTCCCAAGCAGTCACAAGTCAGCCCTCAAAAGGGGATTATATAGTTCAAACCTGAGTTAGGATACTAGCATCTAGACTTGCAACACACATTACCTTCCGATGCACCGACTGGTCCTCCCTACCTAGTCGTTCTAGCAAGAGACAGGAAAACGAGGAATGAATTCCCTGGGTTGAGCATTTAGGGTAGGGTGTTCAGACTTTAGAGTCTTCAGATACATGTCACATCCAGGCACCGTAACCTTTAAGAACGCGGTTTCATTACTGGAGGTTCTGCGGCCTAAGCCTGCTAAGCAGCCAAAACTTCTTGAGCCCTAAAGCTTGAACCCACAGCCAAAACCCTCACTCCAAAGTCTTTCTCCTATTCTCGCAAACTCAAACCCTCGAAACACAAACCTTCAAGCTCTACCCAACCCACCCTTAGCCCTAAACCACGAACCCTCAACCCTTAACACCAAACCCTGAATCCTACACCCCAACCCCCAAGCCCTAAGCCCAACTGCTACCAAGGAGCACTGAACTCGTAGAGGCAGGAAGCGGAGCTGGCGTCCGGAGGGAGCGGTCCAGCTGCCAGCTTATACCTCCAAGCTCAGCTTGGGGATTAAGGTCTAGGGATGAGGCATGAGTGTTCTTCTTGGTAGACCCTTTTCCACCTGCAACACAGAACGAAAGATTTCCGTCCGGCGAGGGTCATCCCTTTAGAGGTCAGCTTCATTAATATGCCCTTCCCCTCGACGATAGGCCATCCATGCTCCATTAGGATTTTAGGGTTTGGGGATGCCGGCTCGGGCCTATAAGGGTTTAGGGTTAGGGAAGGATCCTCAGATTATGTCAATCAGGAGAAAGGTAGATGGATCCCTAAAGTAGCCCGTGTCAAGTCCCCACGCTATCCCTATAGCCCGTTCTCCCATTCCAGGTAAGCACGAGTAAAGATCGTAAGTCCCTGAGTTAGGTGCAGGGATTCAGGCAAGGATGCGGAGAACAAGGAATGGGGCAAGAGGGTAAGGGGCTTCAGCTTTGGTATTTTTAGGGCTTAAGTTCAGGGTAGCAAATCCAGTCCATTCTGGCAGTAAATGAGGAGGAAGCCCTAAGCAAAGCAGTGTCTTCCTCTTTTGGGGACTCCGACTTGGTGGCATGGAGCTGGGTGTACGAACAGGGGTATGGAGGGGTAGGAGCTGTTGATGCCCTCATGAGCTTTCCAAAAGCTAGAGCTAAGCCCCCTGCTCCAAGTAGTCCTTCTTTGCACCACGCCTCAGTCATGTGTCAACTGGAGGAGGACCCTGTATCCTTCAGCAGAAATGCTGCCATCCCTGAACCCACAGAAGTATGTGGCGCATGTCGCGCACCAATGGCAAGCCAAATATGCATCCAACTGAAAGCAAAACAGTACGCAGAAAGTGCTTGCATTTTTCAATGTGCCTGACCTAGAAGTCACCAGCATCTTACTGAATGCCACTGCTGCGGATACAGGCCAGCAGGTCTGTTGTCCTGTGAAAACTCTGAGGGGCTGGTCTTGTATCAAGGGTCCCTATTTTGGTAACTGGTCGCAGGTTATGAGGTGAAGCACCCGCATGGATTCCAACCTTGTCTGGCTTTATGCCTGTGATGCCGGCACAGCTTCCTGATTAAACATGTCCTGTCAAGCACAACAAGTACTTGAACCCAACCACAAGAAGTGCTCCCACCAAGGTTTTGGCAGCCGTTTTCAAGAGCCAATGCCAGCTGCCAACTCAAGATTCTGAAGTCAAAAGTCTCATAAAAGCAAATTAGAC